CATTTATTTTTACCAGGTGAGGAAGCTTACATGCTCAAATGACCCTGAGAGCTATACCGGCAGGAGCTTAAGCTCCCGGTAGGGCCACCCAAGCTGGACAGATCAAAGTTTATGAGCCAGACTAAGAGTGACACCCTGGTCCTCCAGGTTGGAGGTTGGGCTGGGGCTATCAATCCCATCCCAGAAGAAAACAACTGTTACAAAACCTGCAGATAACTACGACGGCCAAGCAAGACAGGACACCTAATCAGAACAAACGAAATGTCTCCATGAAGGAAACTAACCTTTTCCAAGCGCAAAGGCATAAGGAGGGCTGGGTATTGCAGAGAAGGATCTCAGAATCCTTGCTGTACGAGGATAGAAAAGAAAGGCGCTAGACAGGAACCTATGGAGGAGGCCAAGACCCATAGAGAGTTGTAGTGCCAGCAAAGAAGAAGAATTGGGAAAGTTCGCATTAGGTGAGTTGTGATTCTACAAGCCAAATTTAATCAGTAGCTTTGCAGATGTAGAAAGTCCCCTACCAATATGCATTCATTAAATGCATAATCTAGGTAATAAGTGTATTCACCTGATAACAACTTATCAGAATAGCTCACAAATAATATTTATGATTTATTTTCATCTACATCTTCAATGTATACATTTAATTGCCCACTGCATTCTTTACAAAATGGTGTTCTGTCTTTATGTAAGCGAAAGTCAATAAAGTTGGCACATGACGACAGTTCTGTTTATAATCAATCATTTATCAAAATTTCCATAATTAATTAAACTTTTAATCAAACTGCCTTGTTTTTGAGGTAAGTGTTGATTTGTGAGATCCATCACCACTTGCACGGATCACATACAAAGCACGTAACTAACAAAATTTCATTTCGTGCCATTAACAACTGTGTGTAAGTACCCTGGACATTGACTTTTATATGATATTAACACAAAATATTTGCTTCATTACTCTGAGTCTCTGAATCTTCCACTTTCTCCTTACCCAGAAGTTATGAAGGGCTTCAGTCATCTTGAATAGTGATTATATATGAAGGGTGAACGCGACCTTTCATAATAATTCTTTACGGCATATTGTGGTCTAAATGATCTTGACATCTTTCTTTCCATATAAAATGGCTTTCTGTTTGACCTGTATTTATTATATTCATGATACTGACGATCTGTCTGTCTTCTTCTAGGAACATTTTTGTCTCTTTCATTTGATTCTGGACTATCAGATTTAATCCTTAATTTGTAATCTGTGCCCTTCTTAACTGCACTTTCCATGGTTGGGAACTTCCTATCATCTTCACATCTTGCATCTTCAAAATTCAGTTCAATATTTTGGGACCAAATTTCTCTTTCCATTTCCTCAGCTTTGTGACTACCTTCCAGCACAGTATTATAGATATTTCTAATGCCATCATTTTCATATCTTGTAAATTTATAGTCTTTCATCGTGTTTTCATTTACCGGGCCTAAACATGGTTTCATTCTTGTATCATAATTCCGTTCACGTTCTGAATGCTTATAATTGTCCCTATAATTGTAGTATTCTTGATCTGTTATATCATCCAATATTTGTCTCTTAGAATCTGGGAGATGAGCTCCATCTAACTCTTCAGTTTCAAGAGGCCTCTTTATTCTCCCATCACCATATTCCCAGCACAATGTGCTATTTGTGTTTCTAACCAAATCAGCGTTACTAACTGAATTTCTTGTTTCACTGCGCTCGGTTACAGAATTTAATTTTAGAATTCTGGCCAACCTTGACCTTTTAAAACCATGGTGTTCAGATGAGTTCGGCACAGTGCTTTCATGTGGCATTTTTGCGTTAATTTCCAATTCATCATTTTGCATTTTCAAAGAAGATGCCAGTTCAACATCTGAAGTTTCTGTTATATAGTGTGGTTCACCAACACATTTGAATTTATTTTGTGGTTTACAATTGTGATCCGTTGGAATTTCATATGCTTCTGTCAACCCAAAGCTTCTGCTATGTGACGAAGCTCTGACATCATACCTTCCCTTTGAATTGTTCTCTACATATCCTGCTTCAGTCCTGGACCAAGAAACAGATCCTGACCTTGAATTTTTAAGTGTATGTGATATGTTTGTCTCATGTGTCATTCTTGGAATGTTATGTGACTCCCATCTTTCTGAATGTGGTTGGTGATCTGATGAATGCGTTCTTGACGCATCACTCTCAGAATGTAAAAATCTTTCTATTTTATGTTTCGAATATGCCTTGTATTCACGTTCATCTCTCTGGTGGAAGTGCCTAGATACAGGTTCTCCCGGCATGCTGTGTGATGTCAGTCTGGGACTATCAACATTGAATTTCTTTCTTTCTACATGCACTCTTTCTGAACTAGCATCATAATGAAATGTACCACTTCTACTGGAAAAATTACTGCCATTTTCTGACTTCCTTATGTCTGTATTTGAAGACAAATCATATTCTGTACTTAAATGTGCAGAATTGTGGTGTACTTTTTCATTTATATCTTTTTGTAGTTTAGTATCTGAAGGTGTACTTAAATTCCATAGAACTGCTGATTCCTGATTAATAAGTTCATGTGACTTATCCGTATTGGTCAAAATGTTATCGTCAGAAGTGATCTGCCTACATCTTGTACTGAAAACTGCAGGATCTTTCTGCAGTGGAAAATCCACATGGGATGAAAAGTTGTGTGAAGCACAGCTGTCAGAATCTGCATAATCTGGTTCTATTTTCTCAACTTTTGGAGCAGGGTGATCATTCTGTTCAAAGGTGTCTTGATAGCACCAGTGATCACCACTGTTATCCGATGTATGCTTAGCGTTCTCATTAAATGTGTTCTTCTTTCTTTGCAAAATAATTGCATCATTTCTGAAATAAGAAAGAAAGGTGTTAGTACAAAATTATTTGTATACTACTGTATTTACTTAACATCTGTTTCAGCTGTCTCTCTTACATCTCACATTTACAGATCACAGACATGACAGTGCATTGATATGTACTGTGTCCATTCCAAGCATGCAAATATCAAGAAGAATATCAATGAAATATTAAGCTTTACACTTTTCATAAAACACCGGTAACCACTTATTAACTTCCTCTAAAGGTGGCGACTGACTAGTAACATTTGCCTGTAATGTAACGTGTTACAAATCGAGCATTACACAAGTGAAGACAGCGAACGGAGCCGCTCGATGTGAGCCGCTCGCGGGCGCTCCATCGTGTTGTCGGTTTTTTCGCGAATCCCTTTGAGTGTTACATTACAAGTCAGTCAGTCAGTCAGTCAGTCGAGCGGCGTCATAACGAGCATTCACGAGTTCTTTAGATAAGAGTAGCGTATTAAATGAAACAAAGATAACACAACCTCCACGTCCGACATATTGAATGAAATGAATGGAGCACACATCAGCACAGTCGAGCCGAGCGTTCAAAACGAGCATTCGATACGCCTCACCAGTTGTGGTGTAATGTAACATGCTCGCCGTGAATGTTACATTACGACTAAATGTTACAAGTCAGTCGCCACCTTAAGAGGTAAATGACCAGGCACCTGTCTTGCCCATAAGCACAATGTCACGAAGGTTTACATGAAATGTAAAATTTAATGCTCATTCAATCTCAACTTCAGATGGAACTGAACGGTCAGTTCCTCTTACGACTTTTACTCCCAGGCAAAGAGATAGTTATACCCACTGAATATGAGGCTTGGTGGATTCCAGAGATATTTTTAACATGACAGTGAAACAATCACATGTTACCTTGAACAAAAATCATGCATGAATGCTAATATTAAATGATTACATCATCCAGAATACAGAATGTCAGACAAAAAATAATCAACATTTCCCTCTGATTAGAATACAAGAAAAGAAAGTACTTTTCACAAAAGCTGGCATGAAAAAGTATACCATTAACAGAGAACATTTTCCCATACATAAGTATTCAGTTTTACTTTTGATGGCAGCAAATACCTACTGAAGACACAAAACTGAATTACAATGACACATGATTGCAGAATGTGTTTCTTCGCAGATACTTAAAGCACTAATATAAAGTGAGCACAGAAACAATAACATTTATGTGTTATTGTGGTCATCCCTTTTTGTAGGTTGAAGAGATAAAAAAATGGTTTCATTCTTAGATGAGGCTTAGAACATGTGGAACCTTTAAATTTGTATGTACCAATATATAAAGCAAAATCCAGAAACTTTTACATTTTAAATTAATGAATATCAGATGGTTCAGTGCTTCATAACTACACACACGCGTACGTGCATTGCAGACTTCTTGCAACCTGTTTAAGTTCAAGTGGTTAATGAAAATTATAAAATCTTCAGTGATTTGCACAAATGAAGTTCTTACTCTTTGTGAAGTTCAGCTATTAGTTTATCTTTCCGTCCAATCTCAGCAGTTACAGTCTTATAGAGCACTGATATATTTAAACAAAGAGACTTATGTTTGGAATGAGATTTATTTTTCTCAGTTGTAGCTTCCTCCAGTTTTTCCTTTACTCTTCTTACTTCATCTTCAAGTGCTTCCTTTGCTTCTTCAAGCTGAAATTAAAATACAGAATACAATAATGCATTTCCAGTAAGCTAGACTAGAGTTTGCTCTAGACCAGCAATACAACATCAATCTTTCCATCCTGTAACTGTGTACTCTCTACTTGAGAATGCTTTGAATCTATTATATTCAATTAATATATTCTATATGTATGTGCAGTTTCCCTCCAAGATTCTAGTAAATTTTGCTTTCTCCCTAGAAACCTGCATCCATTAAGCTCAAGAGATACAGAATTTGAATGGATGCAACAGGTGGCAACTTGACAGTAGTGAATCAAGATTTATTACTGCATACTCAATTTAAAAATGGGGTATCTGTATATGTAATCTCTCAGCTCTCACATTACTGTAACATAGCAATGTGACAATATGTCAACATTACTTTAGAAAATCCCTGCATATTTTCTCACATTCCAACTGTTGGGGCAACTCAATTTTATTAGGATTGCAATTGGGGGGGGGGGCCTACGACAAAGAAGATGGCTATCTTCTGGGATGTTGCACTATGTTATGTGACCAACATTCCATTATCAGGCTGATCTGCCATAATAAACACAGTGAAAAATCCCTGCTCAGGTCTTCGGTTTCTGGCTAACAGTGACGCATTACGTTAATTAATCATTTTGAAAACCACTGCAGAATATGAATAGCTGTGGTTCTGCACCTAAACATAAAAATTTAAAACCTGTAAAAGTACTAACCTCTTTCACAGTATCCTCCAGACATGCGAAGTCTGGTAAATCTTCGTATACTCGCTCTTCAAACATCATACATATGATATTTTAATCCATTTACAGAACTAGACATGCATATTTACTTGATACAAAGCAAATAAACGTACTATTTAACGTTCACTTCCTCAACAAATTAGGTTATGAGCATCCAGTACTACGCTACCAAAACACATTACCATCATTCTGTTCACAGATTATAGCAACACCCACAGGTAATATTACATAGCTCAACAGCTGAAATGCAGAAGGGAAATATGTGGGAATTGACGTCCTTGCATAAAAATACATTTCTCTCATAGTTGTGTATGTGAAATGTAGTAGAGTGGTTTAGTTCTTCTGTTCAAAGCCGAAGAGCAGTCAAAGGGGGCCTTATGTTTTGAGGTATATTGTGTTCTGTTTTATTCTGTTCTGTTTATAACAGTAGCATATAAAACCTGTCATTTAATAGGTAAACAAAAGTATAACTATGTAATTTATATTTGTATTCGAAACAAATATTGTAGATTGCTGTCTTCTGGCTTGTTGTGCCTTGTAGTCTGGTAGACCAGACTCGCCGCTATGAAAACCTCAAATCCTACAACAAATATTATTTTTGTGCTATTACATTTTATACATCCTTGGCTTAGGCCTGTGAAGGATCTGTAGACTGTTAAGTAAATTCTATTGTGTTGTATTGTCAACTTGTATTAAGGCAGGCTTTCTTATTTGGCATTATGTGGTTTATTCGTCGTCACTTGTTTAAATCTTACATATTTGGCGTATAATAAAAAAAATGGAATATAGTGGTACATGATGTGAGTTGTTTAAGGTAACGACACCAGTAGTTGATAGGTTGACAGTTTTCACTTGGAAGCTTATTGTGAAATTAAGGCTTTTGGTAGATTTAGAAAGTTTCTTTAAAAATTGTCACTGAGGGGTGTATGATTGTCACAAAGTCAACATTTTTGCTGTATTACTAAGTGCTCGCTGAGCGATACATATTTGCTGGTGGAAAGGTTTTGTAGTGGCATAATGCATCATCCAGTAGACTATCTTGTGTCCAGCTCATCATAATATCAGCTGCTGAAGAAGAAAGGAATGTTAAATTCATATAAATTATAGAACAGTATTCATGTATCTATGTCTCATATGGGATGCTTCTGAAAAAACTTGGAGAAGAGAGATTATCAGGTAAGAAAAATTAAGAACAAATATATATTTAAATATAGTAGTGTGAGTGTGGGTACATGCATGCAGTATATAAAACTGAACAAGCATAAGTTGTTACACACATTATGAATCATATAATTATATACAAGATATATTGAGGTTCATTTATTCTATTACCATGGCAATGCTGCTTCTTAGTTCAAGAAATACGAGTGCAGGTAATCTCATAATGCTCCAGCAGAGCTGTGTTTCTTGATCTGTTTAACATGACTTGTGACATATTGCTGTTCACAGTCAACTTGTATTAGGGCAGGCTTTCTTATTTGGCATTATGTGGAGAACACATGGGTTTTGTAGTTGAATCAACTGTCTCTTTAATGTAATTAATAGGAACCTTAAAAATCCTGAATTTAGAGCAAGCGTGTTGAAAGTGCAAGGTTTTGTAGTCTCTTTGAAGTAATTAATAGGAACCTAAAAAATCCTAAATTTAGAGCAAGCGTGTTGAAAGTGCATTCAGCATATTTTATCCGTCTGGAAAATTTATAGTTAAAAGCTGTTCTCCAGTTGTCAAACATTCTTTGTGGACACAGATGTGTGATATCTTTCCAGGGGAAAAAGCCTCATTAACAACAAAATAAAATGGAAATTCCTTGATTGTGTGGTAAAGGCCATGCTTTTTGGATTGACCAACCTTCTTGGTTGGTCTGTCAACCTAATTTACTGATATGTAAGACTGCTGTTATCATCCTACCATAACTAACTAACTAGATGGCTTACGGAACCCGAAGGTTCATCACCAAATTAACCAAAGCCCTCCTCCAGACCCTATCCTGAGCCAGCAAAATCCAGTCTCCTTCAACTCCTATCTCCCATAGATCCCGCCTGAGATCATCCTCCCATCTACGTCTAGGTCTCCCCAGAGGTCTCTTCCCCTCAGGCTTCCCAAATAG